CAGGCAGCAGGGAGAGCATGGCACCAAGACTGTGCCAATCCAGGTAGGGTTTGCACAACCATGGCTTATGGAACCTGCACAACAGCTTTTTACTTCCAAAACAATTTTTCCTGCCTTCACTTTCTTTCCAAAATTTTTACATTGGCACATAATATTTATATATATCCGCAGGGTACAGTGTGTTCATTTCAATGCATGCAATAGTAATGATCATATCAGGGTACCTGACACATCTATCACTTCAGACATATATCATTTCTTTGTATTAGAGACATTCAAAATGTTTTGTACTGGCTTTTTTGACATAGTCCAACAAATGCCATCAACCGTGGTTACCCTGTTGTATTAGAGTTCGATGTTACTCCTCCCATCCGACTGAGCCTCTGGGCCCATTTAGTCATCCCCTATCCAGGCTCTAGCAACAACTATTCTATCCTCTAATTCTTTCAGATCAATTTTTAAAAGACCTACTCTGAGAGTCAGACAGAAGGAGAGAGAGAATATTTTATGTATTGGTTCACTCTCTAGATCGCTGCAATGGCCAGTACTGGGATAGGCTCAAGCCAAAAGCCAGGAGCTTCATCCAGGTCTCCCACATGGATGTAGAGGCCCAAACACTTGGGCCACCTTCTACTGCTTTTCCCAGGCTATTGACATGGAGCTGGATCAGAAATGGAGCAACCAAGACACCAACCAGTAGGCATATAGCTATGCCACAATGCCAGCCCTTGGGATTGCTTTCTTGACCTCTTTCTCAGCAGGTTCATTAATGATTTCTTAAAAAGCTGCTGGTTTTCTGTGCTGATTCTGGATTCTATGACTTTACTGAATTCATGTATCAGTTCCAACAGATTTTTGTGTATATGTGATATGATGTTTGTTACAGCTCTGTCACATAAAACGCTTATTGTGGTGAGGTATGCTTCTTTTACACTCTAATTGTTAAGGGCTTCTTTCCTGAAAAAAATGTTCATTTTTGTCAAGTGCTTTTTCTGTATCTGTTGAGGTAATCATTTGGTTACCTTTAACTCCATTGACATATTATGTTTGTCAACTTGTGTGTGTTGAACCATGCTGGCCTGCCTGGGTTAACACCACTTGAGTGTGTTGTTTTTATGGACTGTTGGATTCAGTTTACTATGGTTCGGTCGACAATTTGCATCTATATTTATCAATATTGGTCCTTTTCTTGGTCCCTGTGTGTCTGGTCTTGATATTACAGTAATGCTGGCCTCGCAGAATGAGGCCTGAAATACTCCTTACTTTTTGATACTTTAAAACTGATTGGGAAGAACTGACACTTTTAGAGTTTGGTAACTCTTGGCAGGGAAGACATGTTTTTTCTTTGTTAGGATTTTCTTGGTTGGAGGACATTTTATTCCTGATTTAATCACACTATGCGTTATTGTTCTCTCCTGGTTTGCTCTGTCCTAACAGTTCAACTTTGGTGGGTTATGTGTGTGCAGCAATTTACGCATCTCTTCTTTGTTTTACAATTTGTTGGTATTTAGTTGCCCATAATAGTCTCCTTATATATCAGTGGTATCAGTTGTAATGCCTTTTTTTTTCATCTCCAGTTTTACTGGTGTCTTTTTTAATCTTGATTAATCTTGCTAAAGCACTGTCAACTTTGTTTATTTTTTCAAAAGCACAACCATTAGTTTCATCGACCTTTTGCACTCATTTACTAGTCTATTTCATTTATTTCTGCATTTTGTTATTTGCTTCTTTGTATTAACTTTGTATCTGGTTTAATCTTGTTTATATAGTTCTTTGAGTTATGTCAGGAGATGGTTGATTTATAATATTTATATTTTTGGGCCTGGCGCAGTAGCCTAGTGGCTAAAGTCCTTGCCTTGCACATGCATATGAGCAACGGTTCTAATCCCGGCGGCCCCATTTCCCATTTGGCTCCCTCTCTGTGGCCTGGGAAAGCAGTCGGGGACAGCCCAAAGCCTTGAGACTCTGCATCCACATGGGAGACCCTGAAGAAGCAGCTCCTGGCTCTTGGCTTTGGGTTCAGTGCAGTTCTGGCTGTTGTGGCCACTTGAGGAGTGAATCAGCGGAGGGAAGATCTTTCTGTCTCTCCTCTTCTCTGTATATCTGACTTTTCAATAAAAACAAATAAATATTTTAAAAATGTATTTGTATTTTTTAGGGGTGTTGGTACCATGACTCAACAGGCTAATCTCTCACCTTCAAATGCCAGCATCGGTGCCAGCTCATGTCTTGGCTGTTCCACTTACCATCCAGCTCCCTGCCTGTGGACTGGAAAAGTAATGGCAGATAGCTCAACTTGTTGGGACCCCTAACCTGTGGGAAGGACCTGTAAGAAGCTCCTGGTTCCTGGCATTGGATCTGCTCAGCTTCGGCTATTGTAGCCATTTGGAAAGTGAGCCAGTAGAGGAAGATCTCTCTTTCCATCTCTCCTTCACTCTGTCAAACCTGCCTTTTAAATAAAATAAATAAATCTTACCAAAAAATATCTGTTCTCAAGCTTTTCCACAGCAATGGACCCAGACAGAGCACTTGTTAGAGTTTGAAGGTCACACAGCGACTTTGGGGAGCTTCTCGGGTATGACTTTCCCAGGGAGGTCTTTTCAGCTGCTTCCTGGCACTTATGGTGGATGAGCGGGTCTGTCTGCTGCCACCTGGCTAGGTTCCAGGGCCTCTGTGGGCCAAACCCCTTGGAGTAGGCTACTCAGTTAATTGCTACAGCCATAGAAAGATGGGTAAGATCTTTTAGTAAGTTCAAAAGACTGGTCCAGCTACTGGGGGCAGTTGCCTGAGTGCTTCAAAGAACTCCAGGTGGACAGGATCTCAAGATGGCTTTATGCAACAAGAACTTGGGTGTAAGGAGCAGTGCAACGTGAGTTGAGTTCTTTCTTAGGACAGTGCAGTAGGTGGGAACCTGGGAGTTCCCCAAACTCGGCTCAGGGCATGTGAGGGTCCCACAGTTCTGCAGCAGGAAATGCCCAGCAGACACTACATGCTCAAGTACCTTCTTTCAAAGGTCATTATGAGTCTGGGATCTCCAACACCTCTGCTATATTCCCATTGTACTCGCATATTTTACGTTGGTATTCTGGGGACACAGCTGCTGTTTTTCCTTTGTTTTTCTTCTCTACTGTGAAGGGAAGAGCACCTTTAGCCAGCCATTTTAGTGCCCAGAAAAATGTACTGTTAATTTTTAATTCCCCTGTGTCAGAATCCTTTTGGCTTGGCTAAACCAATCCATGGCAAATGACATCACCAAATGCCCTGACCCTTGCTAATTCCCAGGGCATCTGAGACAAGGAGAGGAACCACCTACGCTCCTTGCAAGCGTTGGGAGGAAGTGGTCAAGACACAGGACAGTGAGTACTCTTTGGGGTGGCCCAGAGAAGCAGCTCGAGGCAGGAAGGTGCTGGACGAGAAGAGAGGCAGGAAGTGTCCAGGGGAGATATTTGCTGAGCTGTGTGTGATGTGATCTATCCTGAGCTTCTCCAGTGCTTCAGGAAAGTCTATGAAACCCAGGATTATTTAGGACTTTTGGGAGGGAGCCACCTGAAGACACATCAGATCTTCCAGTGGAAGATGAAGATAATTCAGGCTGCATTCTGCGGAGGGAGAGGACCCTGTAAATGCAGAACCTCTGGGCTTCATGGACTCCAAAGGGCTTTGGGCTTCTCCAGGCCACAGAACTGGAAATGATCAAGCAGATGTTACCTAATCTTGGGGAGTGGGAATGCTTCCAGCCAACCATTCAACCCTGAAACTGGAAAGTGAGAAGAAAAATGGAAAATGTGGTTTGGTTCTGTAAATGTGATACTAATTATAGCCATTTGGGAAAACTGCTTTTCATTAATGCATATTTGCTCAGCATGCAATGTAACAGCAATTATGCCTGGCCTCCACTACTCATCAGACTCTCTGAGTTTGGCCTTCCTCAAGCCTTGCTTTGGTGGTCTGGTTGTCCAAGAGTTAACATGGTGAATCCATTCACTTAAAAAAAAAAAAAGAAATGGTTCAATATTAAAGTGCAGTTCATTCTGTTCTTTAAGGGGCAGATTACCTTGTGCCACTTTTCATATCAGCACACTGTCTGGTCATTGGGATTTGGCCAAATAGGAGATATGATTTCTAACACTGTGTGTGAGTGTGTGTGTGTGTGTGTGTGTGTGTGTGTGTGTGTGTGTGTGTGTGTTTAATTTAGGAGACCTCTAGAGTGTCCCTCATCAAGACAGCTAGATGCCTGCACATCTCTAAAGTAGAACTTGAACAAGCATTCCCAGTCAAGGTTAATAACTCCTCCTAAGTCCATAATTCAGAGGATAAAGCGCAGAAATAATTCCTCAGGATGCAGTGAATAAAGACAGCAGATTAAAAGGCTCAACAGTAGTTTTCCCCTGAAGCTGCAGCTTAGAAGTAAAGGAGGCTGCCTGGGCCCAGCGCAATTGCTCAGTGGCTAAATTCTCACCTTGCAAGCACTGGGATCCCATCTGGGCAATGAGTTGTGCCATGGCTGCTCCACTGCCCATCAAGCTCCCTGCTCAATCACCCAAAGCCTTGGAATCCTGCATCCAACATGGGAGACCTGGAAGAAGCTCCTGACTCCTGGCTTTGGGTCAGCTGAGCTCCGGCTGCTGTGGCTATTTGGAGACTGAACAAGAGGAAGAAAGATCGTTCTTTCTGTTGCTCTTTTCTCCGGAAATCTGATCTGTCTTTCCAACAAAAATAAATGTTAAAAGAAGAAGGAGGACAGTCCACCTTTACAGGATTGTTTCTGAGTATGCCTCTACATGGGTCATATAAACTTGTTTTGCTGGCCTATCATGTGCTGGGCTCTGGTCTAGGGCCTTAGGAAGCAAAGTAGGAAGTGGGGTCAATAAAAAACTATTAAATCTAAAAAACTCGGTTCTTTCTTTAGAGAGATGGTGAGTGGGTTAGATGAGAGAATGGAGATGCATAGCATAAGCTCAGAGAAGAGAGAAAATCAGAGATGAGCCAAGTAATCTTACTTCTGCAAGTCGTCTGATCCGAGTTGAGAATGTATCCTTGTTTGCACCTGCAGACGTAGGAGCCGGGCGTGTTGATACAGAAGTGGGCGCAGTTATGCTCCACGATGCTGCACATGTGGACAGCTGGAAGGGAGGACACAGGCAGGTAAGCAAATGGCCACAGCCTCCCAGACTTCATTCCACCCAGGAGGCATCTACTCCAAGCACACGCTATGAAACAGAGGGTAGGACCCACAGAAGCAAGCAGAGTCCATACCTTCAAGGGGTTACAGTCTAAGGTGGACAAGTCAGGTGCAAATAGATGCTATCAGAATTTATCAGAGTATTTTTTTTAAAGTCTGTGAAAATGGAATTAAAAGAGAAGCTTATTTAAGTATAAAACACTGAAACTGTGTATAGGTTTTTCATTGTGACATTTTTCTTGATCATTGGAAGACCCTGCATATATACAGTTTTGAAAACCTTCATGCACCAGAACTTCTCTTTTAATTCTATTTTTCCATGAATTTCTAAAGTGTCTTCACAGACAAAGAGTCACACAGAGCAAACAGAAATGGTTTAGGCTGAACCACGCAAACTTGAGGCTGGTTGCTTTTGCCTACAAAGCCAGACAGTCCTGACTCAATGTAATAATTTCCTTTTGCGGGCATGGGGTCAGAATGTTTTCTACCACTAAAAGAATACAAATGTGGATTTTCAGTAGGCAGCAGTAGAGCTGAGGGCAAAGCTATTTGTTAAATGAGAAAGCATTAGAGAACCAACAGTTTCTCAGGATGAGCCCCAAGAGCAATGTAATTTTTTTAATATGCAAGGCATACAAAAAAAATCTGTCATCAAACATGCATTCAAATTTTCTTGATGCTTCACTTTAAAATACTTCCATAGGAGTGGTGATGGCTTAGTTGCTAAAATCCTCCTATCCTGGTGTACCTGGGTTCAAGTATCAGGTCTGGCTCACATTCCCTACTTCCCCTTAATGCAAACTCCGAGAGGCAGCTATGATATCTCAAGTCACTGAGTTCTTACCACTCATGTCGCAGACCTGGATTGCACACCTGGCTCTCAGCATTGGCCCTTGCCAGCATCGGTTGTTATGGGCATGCAGGGAACAAACCAGTGGTCAAAAGATCCCCTTTTGTCTCTTTGTATCTCTCAGGTTCTCAAATAAATCATTTAAAAAATTAAATATAAATAAATAAAACTGCCTATATTTAACTCTTGGAGAGTATCAGATTTAAGATACATCGTTTCTTTTTTGTACATCAATTCTTACATGAAATACTGCCTGGAGCTTATAAACACTCTCATGTTTTACATTGTAATTTATGCAACTTGCGTGCTTGGCGGTGTGCTTCCATCACTCTGGCACTCTGACTCTCAGCTTTCCCAGGACAGAAAGCTGGTGGCTAACTTTGAGCAGTGTCCTAGGATGCCCATAACCACATCCTTACGATCCTGTATCTTTGAACACATTCACTAACTGATAGACACAGGAAAGCAGCAGACACAACAGTGTGGTGTTGCAGTGACTGATACCCCAGCAGCATTCAGCGAGCCATGATCTAAACTCCACCAGCAGCAGGAACTCCCCCAACAACAAAGTGGGAAGGGATGTTTACCAGGAGTTCAGGAGCTAAACTCAAAGAACTGCCCCTCCTGTGGGTCTGTTTGATTTGACCAAGAGCAGAGACAGAACAGCAGGTCCCAGATAGGCAGTGCGGGAAGCAGGGTGAATTTCGTAACCCAGTCCACCCCTACAGCTGAATTGGGTGCCATTTTGTACGGTGTAAAAATCTTTAAGACTGCGGGACAACAGCAGGCTACACATGTGCTGAGATAGGAGCAAACTCACTGAGCTCAGTGCATTGCAGCGGTACTACAGGAAAATAATACTGACTTAGGCATTGTACAGGTCAGAACAGGTTTGTGTGGCCCTCAGACCTAATGGCCGACAGGTGCTGGCAAGATCAGTACTAACAACAACTTAGCTGTATAGGACACCTGCTGTCTCCCTAATCCTGGGACCTGCTCCAACCGGAAGTGGGAAAAGGTTGTACAGACAATGGTGCAGCCTCAGCATGATATTACAGGAGGTGGAGAGTGGTGAGTCAGGAGCTGGGGTTGCACAGATTGTGGTGGAAGTCTAACATAAGAAGAACCCAGACCTGGAACTCGCTGGGGGGAGTGGCACAACTGACTGCAAAGAAAGTACCAGGTACCAACTGCAATAAGTAAAATCGCACTGTAGACCTGTGGGTGACACAGCTTAGAAACCTGCCCCAAGGAGAAGAATCTCATAACCAGAAGTACAATGACCAAGAGCAAAATGAATATTACTGAAGATTCCCCTACAAAGGAGCAAAACCCTTTGCCAACCTCAGAGTTCACTGAGGAAGACAACGAGAAAATGGGGGATACAGAATTCAAAACACTTGTTATAAAGCTTATTATCAACAATGAGAAGTACGTGAAGCAGGCATTCAAGGAATTCAAGGAATATGTTACACAGCAAATAACAGCAACAAATCACATGAAAGCTGATATATCAGAAATGAAGAATACAGTGGAGCAAACTAAAAGTACAGTGGGGAGTCTCCAAAATAGAATGAAGGAAACAGAAGAAAGGATTTCAGAATTAGAAGATATTTCTTGTCACCAGGGGGAAACAAACAAGAAGCTGGAAGCAGAGCTGGATCAGGCCAAAAAAAGTATTCAAGAATTGAAAGACACTATTAAGAGACCAAATATAAGAGTTATGGGAGTCCCAGAAGGTGCAGAAAGAGAGGCTGGGTTTACAAATATATTTAATGAAATAATAAGGGAAAACTTCCCTAATCTAGAGAAAGAATTGGAAAGCAGCACCCAGGAGGGGCACAGAACTCCCAACAGGGTTGACCAAAAGCAATCTTCACCAAGGCACATGATCATCAAGCTCTCTTCAATAAAACATAAGGAAAAGATCCTTAAATGTGCACGTGAAAAAAAATCAACTGACATATAAAGGAATGCCAGGTAAACTCACAGGAGATCTCTCACAGGAAACTCTACGGGCCAGAAGAGAATGGAGTGACATATTTCAGATTCTAAAAGCAAAAAAATGTCAGTCCAGGATAATGTACTCAGCAAAACGTTCCTTTGTCTTTGACAATGGAATAAAATTCTTCCACAGTAAAAAAAAGTTAAAAGAATATACCTCATCCAAACCTGCCCTACAAATGATACTTTAAGATGTTCTCCACAGAGAAAAGGCAAATGGGAAGAACATCCCAGTAAAATAACAAGAGAAGACTAAATCAATGAACAACCCATTGCTAAAATGACTGGACCAAATTACTACCCATTCATATTAAGCCTGAACGTTAATGGCTTAAACTCTTCAATCAAATGTCATAGATTAGTAGACTGTATTAAAAAAAATCTATTTGTTGCCTACAGGAGACATAGCTCACCAACAAAGATCAGCGGAAACTGTATCTCACTGATTTTGATTTTTTAAGTTTAATCTCTTCAAATAGATCATACAGTAGCATCATTTTCAAAAAGGTTCTTGATTTTCTTTTTCATTTCTTCAGTGACACACTAGTCATTCAGCAGGGTGTAATTTAACTTCATGGCATTGTTAATTTCTTTTTTCTTACTGTTTATTTTGTTTTGTGGCTTTTCATTTAAGGGGATGTATAGTAACTATGTAATAGAAACTGTCAGATCCAGATGTGAAGATACAATGCAGTATACATCTCTACTTCAAGACAAAGATGGACTCCCAATGAAACTGTTTGCTATGTCTTGACAATAGGAAGCTGGACTCTGCCATTGTCCATGCCCACAATGACGGACATCATTTTTATGAAGAACTATAGTATAGTAATAATGTAGGGGAACTCAGTGAGGGGGGCAAAGAACTGGGGAGGGGGTATGGGAAACCCCAGGGCCTATGGAACTGTATCATAAAATGATAATAATAATAATAATGAAGGCTATGAAATAAAAATAAAATAAAAAAGATACAACTTGAGCACATTTAAAATGAATAAGCATTATTATAAACAGAACAAGTTATGTAAGTGTTCTCATTAATAAAAACAATATCTATAGACAGGAAATATTTTTATGAAGCTAAGATAAAAAGAACACTCAAAGGCAAAGAACAATCTCATTAATCCAGTGTGGGGAAAAATACAGTTACCAATGAAATCCATCTTAAGTACACATCTCCGCATCTAAGTAAGAGATATGGGGACAATAAAGGAACCAGAGGAGTGAAATTGCTCAACTTCGTAACAAAACAATTTAGGATGCACTGAGTTAATAGTTTGCCTATATTTAAGCTTCTGTTAGGACACAAATAACATCAAACGAGTTCACAGAACAAATTCAACCAGTAATGTTCAAAGAAGGGTGAAATAAACATCTTTATTTGTGTATGTGTGACCCTGAGCAATGTTCTTAACCTTTGTATATAAAATGGGGATAGAAACTGGCACTATGTCTTAAGGACCACACGAATTAGTTAAGATGATTAAGTACTTAGAGCTGTGCGTGGGACCTGGGTAATCCCAGGAGCTCTTAATCATTCCAGAGCAAAGGGAAACTGGCATCATATTTTGTTTTATTCTATATATGTAGGTCTATCCTATATATGCTGATCTTCCACTTGGGTTTCATTGAACTTTAGCCATAGAGTCTGTTCCTAGTGAGATTCAGATCCTAATGCATGGAATCTAAGATGCACCTTCAATTTCAGAGATACTAAAATGTAAAGGCATGCACAACTGATCTTCATTATGTGCAGATTCCAAATCTGAGAATTTCCCTACTCATAGCACTTCCACACTCATTCCTGGACACACTCAGAGTGGTGAAAATGTTGCCACAAAGCAGTCAAACACAGCAACACCCTGCTTTCTGGCTTCAGCTCCCCTGCTCCACCCTGCAAACAAATACCCCTTTAGGGGTGTATTTTGTGTTGGGTGTTGTGCTGTTTGCTGTTCCTAAACTCAGGAAGGCTGTGCGTTGTCTCTTGGGGAAGATACGTGCCACGTTAGCTTCATCTACAGGGTTGTCAGCCATGAGTTTGAAGTTACCAAAAACACATATTCAACAAGGTATCTTTCAACAGGAAC